CTCGGGCCTCGAGTTTTGAGGTTGGTTTGAGGTTAATGGGCGTTCAAAAATGAGGTCTACCATATATTGAGGAACCCCCATAGGAAGGACACAGAAGATGCTTTGTCAAGGTTTTGGGCGACGCAGTTTTGGAGAAAAGAGGCCCCACACTGAGAAACCCTTTTTGGGAGGGGCGCACAGACTTCAGATGACACAGTTTTGGAGCACAGAGATTGAGAAGGGTGAATGGGACTTCGCATCGACACATGATCATGTGTGCGGTGTTTGGCATGGCTCTCCGGAGTTTGTTTGGGCACGAGTATTTGAGGAGGCTATCGTTGCTGACGCATGAGTCTAGATCCATCAGACCATTTGAAAGACCGTGACTCGGAAAGACTCCCGCACGCACGTGGTTGGCAGCCATGGATGGTCGCATCACGCAAGCGTTTGCCAAAGCCAATGCCGCGATGCGGCGGGCTGTCAGAGAGGCATTCAAGACACAGCCGATGCGCTCTTGCAAGAGCAGGCTGGGCTCTCTCGGAGCAAGTTCGCCTGGTTTTGACGGGTGTGCTGCGGGAGGCAAACAGCGGCGCAAGCACAGCAAGGAATTCTCGAAGAAGATCTCTCATCTAAGGCTGGGGCTTTGGTTGGGGTACTACGTATGCTCGGGCAACTTAAGGACTTATAAGTGGTTTATAAGTTTGATAAGTTAGTTATAAACTAGTTATAACTTGTCAACTTCAACATAACTTCGTAACTTGTCTATAACTTGAACACTTTGGCCTAGGTAAGTTACTGTGAACTTAGTAACTTCTAACTTAGTTAAGCACTTCATGCCTTGTGAAGTTACAAGAAGTTACGAAAACTTACGCGCAACTTAGGAAGTTATGGTTTACACTACATTTGTCGTCTTGGTTGCTGAATTGCATTTTGGACATGCAATTTGTTATGAAAACGCGCCAAAGCTCTTTGTCGTCAAGTGTTCTTTGGCCGCTTCTTGGCTCAACCCAAGCGGCGATTTTGAAATAGGGAGCCCAGGTTTGCAAAGTCGATGGCGTCGAAGTTACTCAAGCAGTTGAGTGCCTCGCAGAAGTTTTTGAAGGGTTTAACAACCCTTCCGAACTATGCATCTGTGCGTCAAAAGCAGCAAGATGCGGTCAGCAAAGCGCTGGCCTGCGCCACGTGCTTAGCCGTGGCTGAGGCAACCGCTTTCATGGAAGCACTCGAAGAAGGCCTCTGGGAGTCCACTTGGATGGAGGGCGTGAAGGTGCAAGTGTCTTCCATGGTGGAGCAGGATGGGGAAGGTTCGGCATCCCGCAAAGCCATGCAGGATTATCGCTGCCTGCCACGGTATCTCAGCCAAGAGCTGTGGGCAGTCTTGCTCGATGAGCAGCAAGAACGCGCGGCAGCTCTTGAGCGACTGACGCACCATTCTGCTAAGCTGGGCCTAAGGCATCCCACGGAGGGCACGCTGGCCATCATGCTTGCAACGGTGTGGTGTGTGGGCTCTCAGCAGCCATCTTCCAGTCAGATGTTTGAGCTGCTGACCCAGAATCGGCTTAAGATCAAGAAGCTGCTCGCCTCGCACCCGCAGCCTCCTAACTATTTGCAGGTGCTACCTGCGTTGGTTGAGGAGTTGCCCCGTGAGCTTCTCATTCTTGCGTTCCCGGAAGGAGCACCGGCCCCTTGCTCACGCATGGATGAGCTGTCGGGCAAGGCTGCGGCGTGGCCGCTGCGTAAAACTTCGCGCCTGACAGGGGACCAGGGGGACGGGAGCAGAGTGGCGGAAACGTCCGGTAGCACTGTCGCTGCTTTGGGCCAGTTCATGGCGGCGATGGCATCCGGCTTTCAGGGCGCCACGGCCAGGGCGCCCGCGCCAGTGCAGCCGCGCATCACCCTTTTGTCTCCGCCGGGGAGGACAAAAGAGCCTCTGGCTCTGCAGGACGGCCCGCTGTCTTCGCGACCCGCAGAAGAGGTGGAAAGCCAGCCGTTGCGTCCTGGGCAGCCGTCTTCGATAGGAGGTCAGCCCACGCAGGCCACGGCTGCACAGCTTGGCCCAGATGCCACGCAGGCGCACGCAAGTTCGAAAATGCCTGATCCTGCGTCAGTTTTGGATGGCATGCGACAAGACTTGCTGCAGGCCAGGCAGCAAGAACAGGCAGATCCCCCGGCACACAGGAACAAGGCTTCGAAAAAACCGGCGGCCAAAGCAAAGGCGCGCACCTTGGCGCTGAAGAGGCCTGCCGGGAGCTGCTCGGCACTGCGGCGCCCGGCCGCATCTCAAGCGGCCGTGGGGTCACAGAAGTGCCAAAGCTCCACGCCGCTCAAGCGACCTGCTCAGTCTGCCGCAAGCGAGCTCCACGCTCACAAAAAGCAGGCTCTACTCAAGGTAGCGCCAGCAAGTCTGGTAGCAAGGCATAGCGAAGGCTGCAGTGGCTGCCGCTACACGGCATACTGCACGCCAAGCTGTTGGCGAAAGCGGAGCGTTGAGGTCACATTTTGAGTTCAGATGCGCGCTGCGATTGCTTGTTGTGAACACTCGGGGGTGAGTGATTCCCATGTCCGTGAGTCGAAAATTGCACTGGCTTCGCATTGCTTTGGTGCTTTACGCGTGTGTCGTGTCGTGTCATGTAGACGCAACATGTTCTTCTGACAGGCTGCGCTATTGTGTTCTTCTCCCGCTGGCCGTTTGGCTTATAATTATGAGCACAGTCCTGCATGCCTTGCTTCGGAGGAGGAGGCGCGCTGTCGGGTGAGGGCTTTCTTTTGGGGTGTGAGACAAGGGTGTAGCCACATGCAAAAGTAAACCCCGACAAAAGGCGCCACACATAGGACGCAGAGGCATCATCAGGGCGCCTGAGTGGCATGCAGTCGCTGCCGGCCGCGTCGTGGCCCAGACCTGCGTGGTCTGTAACGCAGACCTGCGTAGTCTGTGGAGGCACCTGCGCGGTGCCGGAAACGCAGACCTGCGCGGTCTGCGGCGTCAGCCTGCCTGGCGCTCGCGGCCCAGACCTGCGTGGTCTGTGGAGGCACCTGCGGGGTGCGGTGCAGACCTGCGTGGTCTGCAGCATCGGCGGCGGGCTGCCGGAACGCAGACCTGCATGGTCTGCACGCGGACACCTGCGCACCTGCGGGGTGCCGGAGACGCAGACCTGCGTGGTCTGTGGACGCACCTGCGGGGACTGCACCTGCGGGGTGCCGGAGACGCAGACCTGCGTGGTCTGTGGGCGCACCTGCGGGGTGCCGGAGACGCAGACCTGCGTGGTCTGTGGGCGCACCTGCGGGGTGCCGGAGACGCAGACCTGCGTGGTCTGTGGGCGCACCTGCGGGGTGCCGGAGACGCAGACCTGCGTGGTCTGTGGATCCGTAGCCAGATGCGCGGGGCCATGGTACGAACTAAACAACCCCCCTCCCCTGCCCAAAGCACACAGCCTTATAGACTTCTTTGGAGCTCGTCAAGATAGTAATCTGAGGGAGTACTTTGCTTCGATTTTGAAGTCTTGGGTCTGTAGTCACGAGCGCAGCCTTGGGCAGGTCATGGCCGCCGACGAGGAAGCCAAAGCGACCTCAACTTCGTACTCGGAGACTGAGGAGTCTGGCCAAAACAAGCCACCAGTCTCCCCAACCAGTGACGCAGCGGACACACCCCCTGCGTCTGAGCCGGTGCGACCAAAGGAGCCAGCTGAGCCCCCAAAGACCTCAGCGTGCGTCACCCGTGGCAACGCCACCAAAGGGAAAGCTCCAGCTGGGGCGCCTGCAGGCCACTGCCAGTGGTGCTGGAGGAAGCTTGGCAAGGCGGCTGCAGCCCAGGACCAGCATACCTACAGCAATCTGCACTGCATCACGTGGCAAATGTACGAAAGCCAGAGCCCTCCCTGCCAGGACTGGCGAGCGGCGCAAAAGGCTGCCGAAAGGCTCAAAAGGAACCGGGACAACCAAATGTACCCTGAGCGCCAGAGCCAGCCTGCAGCGTCCGCCCACAAGGCGAAGCAGGAGGAGCCGGACTGCAGCCAGCCCAAGGTCAAGCGCGCTGCTAGCGCAACCACCACTCGGCGCAAGAAGAAGGACAAGTCCAAGCGCAAGAAGGACAGCAGCTCTCCTGGCAGCCCTTCGCCAGCGCCGAAAAAGAAGAAGGAGAAGAAGAAGAAGAAGCTGTCTTCTTCGGATTCGAGCGCTGAGCCGCGGCAGAAGAAGCGCAAGGGGTCCGGCTCACTGCAGGGCAAGATCATCATCAACATGTGATGGCCCCTGGCCTATGGCTGCGCTGCTGCTGTGGCGCGATCTGCATCGCTGCTCGCGAGCTGGCGGCGCGATCCGCGTGATCGCAGCTCGCAAGCTGGCGGCGCGATCTGTGCGATCGCTGATCGTGAGCATGGCAGATCTCCTCCCGCCGAGGAGAGGATTTTTAGACCCATGGCCAATGGCTTTGTACAGCTTGTCTACAGGCATAGGCCGGACACCAGACTCCATGCGTGGGCAAGACAAAAAAAGCGCGCTTCGACATGTTGGCTCGGGCAACTAAGAGAAGTCATTTCTTGTTTTTATTGTCCACACTTGAAGTGCGCACTCTGTTTGGCGGTGCGTGCTCTTGGCTCGGTTGCGCGTGCTGTTCGGCGTTGCGCGGCCGTCTGATTTCGCTGTACGCGGATTGTACGCGGAATGTACGCGGCTCCGACGATCCTTGGGGCCCAATGTACGCGGGAGGAAAGGATGGGCGGGACGCGAATGTACGCGATGTACGCGGATGCGACAGTCACAGGGATCGTGGGTTGGCCTTGGCAAGAATTGCAGACTTTGTTTTTGTACGCGATGTACGCGGGCCACCGGCCAATGTACGCGGATGTACGCGGATTGTACGCGGCCGCTCGCTTCTCTGTGATTTGTTGCGATCTTGTGTGAGTTGCGTTCGCCTGCACCTTCCGCTATAGCTCACTGTGTTTTGCCCGGCGCTGTTCCGTATAGCTGTTTGGCACAGTAGGTGTAGCGGGGCCCCGTTTTGTTTTCTTAGCGCTTTTCGCGGCATGGCAGCTGTCAATGATGGCCACAAGGCGTGCACCTTCTGCCGCCGCGAGCTGCCAGCTAGCGAGCTGAAGGATCACGGCAGGCGCGTCCTTTGCCCCAGCTGCAACACGGTCGAAACCATGTTGCGGCGCAATCTGGACGGAAAGCCGGAGCACATGCCATCCGTTGATGATGCGGAGTCGGTCAAGTTCTTCGCGCACTTGGCGGAGCAGCGCCAAGCGTGCGGCGGTCGGCTGAATTGGACCACTGTTCGCGCTGGCCTGATCACTGCAATCAGCGACAAAATCATCGAGAGCCACACCACGGCAGTCGGAGGCGTGTTCAAGCCGAAGTCTGTGTGGGAAAGAAAAGGCTACACGACGCAGCAGATCGAAGAGTCCCCACACGAATGGGACCCTATCCTGGGAGACACGTACGCGGTGATGCTGAAGTCCGTGTGCCGACAGACAACCGTGCAGAACGTGACGAGCGCTGTGCTCGAACACGAAAAGCGAGCCACCGCCAAAAAGAACAAAAAGCCCAAGGGCGGAGCTCCTGCAGATGAAGAGGCCTTGGATCTCGATCTCCCTCTGCCCCCGAAGGCTGAGTGCAATAGCACGAAGTCTGTCACAGCGGAGCACAAGCGACAGGCGCAAGTGGCTAAAAAAGTCGCGAGCCAAAACACCAAAGCCGCAGCGCTGGCTGCGAAAGCCGTGAGCTGCCTCCACCCGGTTTGCGCCGCGCTGGAGAAGTCTTTGGCCTGCGTGGCCAAGCGTCCCTCGGACGCAAGTCGGTCTGGTCTTGAGCAAGCGTTGACCGACAGCAAGGCAAAGCTTACATGCTGGCTGGCTGCCTGCCGGGATCTTCTGGTACAGCACGAGCAGGAGAAGCCATCCCAGGAGCCACAGGCGCTCGCCTCGCTTCCCTTCACGGCCGATGATCTCAAGCCCGCTTTGGCTTGTGCGCGAGAGGTGCTCAAGTCTGTTAAAGTCAGTGCGCCGGCACGCAAGCGGGCGGCGCCCGAGCAGGGGGATGGCCCTGCAGACGTGTCGGCGCAGCCGAAGCGTCGCCGCGCAAAGTGAGGCGGGGCTTTTATAAAACGCATGTCGCAATAATTCAGCACGTTTGCTTTAGTCCTGCGTCTTGTGGCGTGACTGCGCCGATGCAGGTGTTGCCTGGATAGCGTGTTGTGTAGACGCGCGCCGGCGCCGCAAGACTTGCATTAGCCTGGGTATATAGAGAAAAGTCATCGCAGCTCTGGCAGCTTTGTGCCGCGCTTTTGGCGTTTCGGTAAGGGCCGCAGTCTGTGGTATAGCTCAGTCCCCTCAAGCAATAACCGCTGCAGAGGATGCCATTGGGTTTAGGGTCATGAAGCGAACGTGTCTGCATGTTGGGCTTGTCACACTACCCTCAAAGCGAAGACCTATACATACAGCGTTTGCTTTTCGATTTTTTTTGCTGTTTCTCAAAAGCTATGGCCAAAAGACCACGTGATCCTCGCAGCACCGCCAGTGCCGCAAGCCAGTTCCACACGCTGCGCCAGATTCCATCCATCGGCCCGGCTCAGTGTCGCCAGATCGTTGCGGTGCTGGACGCGGATGGGCGGGGCACACGCGTGCAGCAACGACGTGATGAGGTGCATGGCGAGGTGATGGAGCACCTTCAGGTCATGGACCTGCCGGCCAAGGATCCCGCATCCAAAGTCCAAGTCAGCTACATGTCTGTAGCCGGCGTGCTGCAGGCTAAGTGCAACGCTTGTCCACTGTTCCATGACTGCCTCCGCGCAATAGCCCAGCAAAGGGACAACCAGCTGACGCTGGTGGTGTACCTGGACGAATGCACGCCTGGGAATGTGCTCTCTCCCGACAATGCTCGGAAATCCAACCTTACGTACTGGACCATCCTCCAACTGCCGCATATTTACCTTGAGGACACTTGGCTCACCTTGTCCGTGAGCCGGACGTCAGAAATCAGTGCTTTGCGGCATGGCATGGTCACTCTCGCTGCGGCGCTACTGCGAGCTGTGCGGGCGGAGACAGTCAGCGGTGTCCCGGTGGAGCTTTCTGGCTCGGCGGAGCTCCTGTTTTTCGACCGCGTGCTTCTTCTCGCAGACCACGAAGGCCTGCGCGCTGCCACTGGCTGCAAAGGATCTTCGGGTATGAAGCCATGCCTGAAGTGTGCCAATGTTATGAACACTGGCTACGGCAACGTCCGATGGCACGTGACAGTGGCCGAGCCAGACATAACAAGCTTCGTGCCACAGACTCAAAACAGCCTCCGCGCTGCGATTGACCACCTGTCAACCATGCCTACGAAAACTTCCCTCGGCGAGGCCGAAAAGCTCCTGGGCTGGAAGCTGGAAGAAGCTTCTGCCTCTTTTCTTCTTGCTCCCGACATGCAAGAATGGTGCGAGCTAGATTCCTGCACGTTTGACGCAATGCACGCGCTTTGGTCCAACGGCATAGTGGGGCAAGAGCTGGGCTACTGGTACACAGCCCTGCGCCGCAAGGCTAACCTCAGCCTCACAGACATGCGGCGCTACGTAGAGCTAGGCTGGCATGGAGTCGGGCGGGCGCGGGGCATAAACCTCTTGAGTCTGTTCACAGTCCACCTTTGGAGGGAGGGGGCCGACTTTCGAGGAGATGCGGGCCAAGCGCTGTTTGTGCTTTCCATTTGTGTGCAGTTTAGCGAAGACATTGCCATTGGCCTCTGCGCAGACATGCGCCGGGAGCACTCCTCTCTTGAAGCGTTGCACCGCGTGTGCTTGTGCGTCCTCGAAACGAAGCGCGACACTGCCCATGGCTCTCATCTGGCTCGGCTGCAAGCTGAGCACATCAGAAGCTTTGCGGCTGTCTACGGCGCTGATAAGGTCCGGCCCAAGCTGCATTATTCCTTGCACCTGCAGCAGCAGTGCTGGAAGTGGGGTCGCTTGGTTGACTGCTTCACTTGTGAGAGAAAGCACCGCGCTTTCAAACGTGTCGCAAGAAGGCAACAAATGCTAGCACGCTTTTCCCAGCAGTGCTTGCTCGAGTTAGCAAGCGCTGAACTCCGCTCCAAGCAGCCAGCCAAGAGGCTTCTGTGGCGCCTGGACGGTCGGACGACTGAGAACGTGGACGTCGGCACTGCGCTGGGCGCCACTGCTCCAGCCACCCTGGCCCCGCGAGCTCTTGGCCCAGACACAATCTCAAGAGGGGATGTTTTGATCCCCTCCCCTGCGGAAGCCTTTGAAGTGCTCGGGGTAACCTCCGTGGACTCGCGCATCCTTCTGCTGATCCACGTCTTGGAACCAGCAGACCTTCATTTCAACACGACCCGGTCGGGACGATCGAAATGGACACGCGCGAGCACGCTTAGATTGCACGCTGTCCATATAGAAAGTGTAGCGTCAGCGCCTCGGGCCATGCACATGCGCGAAGAGCGCATTGGCAACACCACGCACATCTGGCTGCTCGAGTAGGAAAAACGGCCTCTGACACGCTGCCGGCTGAAGAAATTCGTGATCGAACCCACCATGGCTGAAGAAATTGGATGCAAAGCGCGCTATAAAAAACACGTAAAACACAAACGAACATGATAATGCGCAGAAGCTGAGCAAACAAGTTAAAAAAAGTTAAGTAACTTATAAGTAACTTATAAGTTCCGCCTAACTTCCCTACAGCTAACTTTCATAAGTTCTCTATAACTAACTTATAAGTCCTTAAGTTGCCCGAGCATTCTAAGTAGTTTGGAGGTTGCACTAGTTGGCGACAAATCCCGAAGGGTTCCTTTCTTCTGGCGATAGATTGAAAGGAAATTGCAAGAACACCGCAGAGGGGGGTGCCCAAAAAAACAGGCCCCTCCTCATTGTTCAAGGCTCATACAACTCCGGTACAGTGTCAGGGATCCTCGTGTTGCCTGGTTAGATCCTTTTGTGGCTTGCCACATTGTCTTTTGGCCAACTTGAGAGCTTTCTGAATTATTGTGGCCAAAGGAAGAGGACAGGTACCCGAGTGACATTGGATTTCCGGTTTTGCGGAACAGGGATTCAGCTCAGCCCGACTTGAACTCGCCAGCGTTCTGGGCCCGTCAGAAGCGACACCCTGAAAATGTGCGAAAGTTAGCGCCCAAAACCCGCCGAAAATCTCAGAAGGTGGTTCTACGACCTGAAACCAGGGGATATCATTCGCGTCTTTGCTTAACCCCCAGGTCAGACTTCGACCCCTTTTTACCCCCCTTTTAGGCCATCCTCACAAGGTACCAAGGGACCCTCTGGGAACATCTTGGCAGAACCAAGAGTAAATCGGTGCGCTTTGGTATTGCCTTTTTGTTCATTCCAGTGTGCTGGATCTGCGACTATTGGAACAGAGTGTGTGTATGTGTGTGTGTGTGACAGATTGGACATTCTTGGCGTTGGTGGGTCAAGAGGCATTTCAAGGGAGAGTGAGTCAGCAGGAGAGGTTTCGAAATTGGATCATAGCTACGGCTGTTAAAAACAAAAAACACGGTTTCCTCTGTGCGTCCCTTGGCAATCCATCCAAAAGAAGGGTGTCCCATTTGTTTTGGCCACAACCGGATGCACTTTCCTGCAACTTGCCCGAACAAGCAGACGAGTCGTGCTGAGTTTTCGTGCCGAGGAGAAGGTTGGGAATACATTCTGCAGAAACATGGCGGGAAGCTTCCCATTGTCATCAAGGCCGCCGTTTGTGTTTTTCCCGGTGCTTCCAGTCTACAGTGGGAAACGGGAACCTAACAAAGAGCCACCAATACATGCCTGAAGAAATAAACAGCTACACAGGCTACACATCCGAAAGTTTCCACCCCAAGGGTCCTGAGGTTTATTCCCAGTATATACTCAGTGCTTAGCACACCAAATAGGCATGAACTATTTCCGGGTCAATCATCTAACATAGTTATGTGCCCAATGTTTGACCACAGAGTGTCTTCGCTGTATAAAAGCCCGCGTTTATGGACTCAATGTTTTGCACCAAGCAAAGCCATCTTCACTAAACAACAAGTATTGGCTTTGCTGGATATAGGTGCAGGTTGTTGGATAAACTCATTACGTTTTGACCTCCGAGCCTTCGGCGCGAAATGTGCGCGAAATGTTTTTGTTTTTGTTTTTTTGTGAAATTGTGGTCCTTAAATTATGGGCAGGGAGGGGGGAGGGGACAGAGCCCGAAGGCCTTAGGCCTTAGGCCCCATGCGTTGACCTCTTGCTTTTGGTGCACTCGAAACACTTCGAGTTAGTGTACAACTCTAAGGCGAGCCTGTTGTTTGTGTTTGTGAATGCGCCGCACCAATGTCAATCTGCCTTCGAACCAATTGCAGAGATGGCTGATTTCCCTACGGGAGCTTGAGTTGCCAGGCAAACCTATTGCCAAGTTGCATAGCGTTTGGCATGGTGCAAGAAGTGCAACTAACCGAGTCAGTCTCTCGTGTTCAGATTCAGCAATTGCTTTGGTACGTTGACTCTGAACTTCGAAGTGTAAGAAACGATTTCTTGTTGTTCGTAGCCCTGGACAATCAGAGGCAGTTGCATCCACGTATGAATTGTGACTGGAGCTACAATTGTTTCACAGCACGCGGCAACATGAGACAGGTGTTTCGTGGTGTCCTACTGTGGATGGACGAAATCCGTTTCGCACCACGAAATGAAACCATGGTTGAAACCATTGTTTGTTGGTATTTACAGGGGAATCGAACCATTCCAGGGTTTCTTAGGTCAGAATTTTGTCCATTCATATATGCATAGCATGACAAAAGGGGGAAGCCCGTGGAGACTGGGTGCGCCAAAAAGCCCATCCCCATCGCTTCCTGGCCGGGGGGTCGACAGAGTGCCTTCAAGAGAATTTCCGCCCCCTTCATGAGAAGGGCCGTGTGGCTCAAAATTGAACAGCTAGGGTTACGCAGGCTTTAGTCTTTAGTTCCATTTACCAAGGTGCCATTTTGGTACATGTTTTTGACCCACTGCCATTTAAGTGATGCCTTTCACACCCAATGCTATATTTTGAGGGGTTTAATTTCCGGGCTGGGTCGTTGTTTGGGGGGTGGTGGAAACCACTCTTTGCTCTCTTTTTCTAGCAGGGTCACTGGGGAACGCCAGCTTCGTCTATTTAAACCGGTCCCACTTACAAGGTGTCAAAGGGCTGAGAGGAATGCTCGCTTTCCCAATGCGGACCTTTTGACCTTTTTCCTGTTTTGGTCCATAGTAGAGGTTACAAAAGGAGGTCTCCTTCTATGTTGTGCGACTTTTGGCGGTGGGCCTTTGTTTCTTACTCTGTGCCCTGGTTCAGGTCGGTCCCTAACAGGCAAAAGGAACCAAAGGGGTGGCGGTTCCCTTAAAAGATAGAACCCACCAAAGCGAGGTTCCGAACATAATTACCGATCAAAGGGGGTGGCAGAACAACAATAGCACCATCCCCCCCCCCCCCAAAAAAAAAACAAAAAAACTTCCAAAAATACCGATCAATGGGGGTGGCAGAATAAAACCACCCCTCGCCCAAACAAAAACACAAAGAACTTCCACAAATACCGATCAAAGGGCTTGGCAGAATGAACATAAAACCAAGCATCGGGGGTGTCTGATTCCCCCCCCTCCCCAAAATAAAGAAATAAATAAAACATAAAACACCACAAAGAAGACAAACAGAACCACCCCCCATGTAATTCTTTGGCCGCGCTTGCCTCGCAGGCTGTTCCAGAGGGCATGGTGGTGCCTGTGAAGAACGTGCTGATGACGGCCGTTCGGCAAGCCAATTGTTTTTACACCTGCAGGGCTGTGTCAATATATGGCTGTGGCTCAACAAAAAAATGTACAGCAATGGCCTTTTGCTAAATCTGCGTAACCCTTGGTCTGTAATTTTCAGCCACACCCTGCCTGTTTTGTAGCGAGCTCACTGCTTCCGGTGATAAAGCGAGCAACTATTTTGGTACTGTAAATTGATATATTTTGCTTGGGGATCCAATTCTTATTGTAGGTTTTGGAGTTATCGTAAGATTTGCAGAATATATATATAGGGGGACCCTCCAAAAAGGGTAGTTGTCCTTTTTGGTTTCCTATTAAACCAGCCTCAAAGAGGGTACCGAAGCCCTCAACATTCCAACGTAAACATGATTTTTTTTGCAGCCCAAAAAAATGATTGGTGAATCCTTAAAAAAAAACATGTTGTTTGTTGTTTTGTTTCTTTTTGTCTTGTTGTGTCCCTGTCTCTATTTCTCACTTTGGGTGGTTGGCTACGACTCGCATGTGGCAGGGATCGCTCCAAAGGCCGGGCTTGATGCCAACCAGCGCTCCGAGTCGTTTGGAGACAGCCGTGCTGCATCTAGGTGCCCCAGTGACCAATTTGTTCAACTTGTTTGAGGGAGGGTTGCCCTCCTAAAATAGACTATGCAGAAAAAAGGGTACCCTTATTCTAACCTCTCTACTGGAGGACCTAGGCATGAGTTTTTGTTTTTCCGAACGCACAAAATGAATCAACGCGAGAGGTTTCCCTTTCCCTTAAAATCAACCCCGCAAAGGGTACCTTGAACACAAACACCCAGCCGCAAGTCTGACGTCGGTCGGCACTCAAGTTTCTGTGGTTCTAGGTGGTGAACACTGATCCCAAATGCGCCTTGGAAGCAAGGGTTCGTCTCGTCAAAAAACAGCCGCACCTGTGTTTTGCATCTTCTTTTTTTGAGTGACTGGTCGCCTGTTCTATTGGTTCGTATGCTTGTTCTTGTGTTGTTTTGGTCCGTGTCCTGTGTGTATGTTTTGGTTGGTTGTCTGTACTAGGTTGAGTTGAGCGCTTGAGTGAGTGTGTGTGTGTGTTGTTCGGTGCTCGCTTAGTGACCGTGAGTTTGTCTTCGTGCTGGCAAGCTTGCTTGCTTGCTTGCTTGCTTGCTTGCTTGCTTGCTTGCTTGCTTGCTTGCTTGCTTGCTTGCTTGCTTGCTTGCTTGCTTGCTTGCTTGCTTGGTCTGTCTGTCTGTCTGCCGGCCTGCCTGCCTGCCTGCCTGCCTTCCTGTCTGTTTGTCTGTCTGTCTGCCTGTCTGTCTGTCTGCCCGGTTGGTCGTTTGGTCGTTTGGTCGTTTGGTTGTTTGCTTGCGTGCTTGCTTGCATGTGTGATGTTTGTTTGTGTGCTACTTTGCATTAGGCTTAACCACGCCTTCTACGAGTCACGAGGGAATAACTGCTGTTGATCATATGTATCATCTCACTACATGCTCTCATAGCGACAGGATGCAATCGCCGGGACGTCGAGTGCTTCGGGAAAAGTCAAAGCTCGGAAGCCCTGCAGCTGTGAGCTTGATAATATGACGACCCGTTTGCCCAGTCCAGTGGAACCCATTTCCCTCTCGTTTGGGGGGTTTCCGGTTGCAAGTTGTTTTTCTCCCGGATGGCTGTTGGGCAAGACTGCGAATCAGGGGCAGACACAGTCACCGACACAGACACACATACGCACACCCACACGCGCGCCAAAAGAAAGAGAAACAAAGGAAGAAAAAATGAAAGAAAGAAATAGCGAAACAGGAATACCTGAAATAAGCAAACACACACAAACAAACACACAAACACACAAACACACAAACACACAAACACACAAACACACAAACACACAAACACACAAACAGAGACAGACGGACAGACAGACAGACTGACATACTGACAGAGACAGACCGACAAACCAACCAACCGACAACAAACCAGACAAGCAACCCCGCAATAAAGAGCGCAAGCAATCAGATCAGCAAGCGAGCGAGCGAGCGAGCGAGCCAGCAACCCAGCAACGCAGCAACCACACAGCCATACGACCACGCAACCAAGCAACCAAGCAATCAAACAACCAAACAGTCAAGCAACCAAGCAACCGAGAAGCAAGCAAGCAAGAAAGCAAGCAAGCAAGCAGGCAGGCAACCGAGCAGGCAACCGAGCGAGCAAGCAAGCCAGCCACCAACCCACCAACCAACCAACCGATCAACTATTTTCATTGAAGAGTTCATGTGGCGAGCACAATAGCAGTGTAGGTGCCACAAGTAAAAAGCAGGAAATCACATAAAAAAACTTGGAAAAAAAGGAAACCAAAGGAAAACACGCGAAGACATGCTCTACATATGGGAAGGAAAGTCTCGGATGAAGACCAGACCATGTTGGAACCTCGGCACCTAGTTCTTTAAGGCGGGCGACCCTTGAAAACCTGGCAGTGGAATCTTGGGATAGATAGCTCCGGCTGGCTTTGTGGATGGCTTGACATTGATCTGTGGCCGTTGGCTCAAGGAAGCAATGAAAGAGACTGCAAAGTCTCGCGTGTGGAAGGTACCTTTGGAAAATGCGGGCGCGGCAGAAACTCGCGCAGTGATCAAGAAGATAAAGACAAGGCTGTCTGCACGTCAGAGCGCAGTGTGTGGGGCGACAGTGACGCAAAGCCATGTGCCGCCCGACTCGAGACTTACCATACTTTGTCATCATTTTTGGCAACGCAAGTTAAGCCAGCCAGGCTTCGCAGACGTGGGCACTGAGGTGGTTTTCAAGCCCAGCAATTGAGCGAGTTTTTGTTTTCACGGGCTGTTCGCATGTAAATGTTCACATTCTAACAATTGAGGATGCTGTACTACTACCACGACTCTACACTGGCCAGCGCTAGGCACTTCTGCTTGCGGGAGCTGAGTGGCTGCGTGTGGTGGCTGAACCCAGCTGCAGTTGCAGCGGAAGACAGCGGCGAGCCAGAGATGAAAAGAGAAAAGGCTGCTGGGCAACAGGCTGCAAGCAACAAGGTCGCGCCGTGGCTGCAAGAGCGCGGTGGCTAAATTGATTGCTTCTTTGAATGCGCAACAGGCGCAGGGTATGAGTTGTTTTTCGACGTAGCTCTGCTGTGATGGAATAAATTTCTGTACATAAAAGTCTTCCCAATGTTGGTTCTACCCAGGGGTTCGGCGGGCCATTTTCGCGTTGCTTCAACGCCTTTCAGTTCCAGGGGTGAATGTGGCAGGCACATGGCAGTCTTTAAGACAGGTTAGCCCCAATCATGCTTGCAGCTTTTAGCGGGCAGTGCCACAGAAGCTTTGTGATTATCACTTATCTAAGCATGCGCTCAGAAAGCTTGCGGCGACAATCAGCGACGCGATCGAGAGGAAGCTGATTCTGAGAATGCTGCGCAGCTGAAGGCAGCCGGCGGGGATGCAAGCTGCTTTTGAGAGTCAACTGGACATAGTCGGCAGGTGTGCGTGTTAGTAGGCGCATGCAAACATATCACGCGCAGCGCACTCGGACGTAGCTTTGCATTCTGTGGCTTGCTGCAACTTCCAGTGGAGCATTTATAGTTACTTGCATGCTAGTTGGTTTCTGGCTTTGACAGCTGATGAGCTTGAGTTCACATCGCAGCTAGCGCGCGTTTCCTACGTCGGAGGCAACCGTTACAGCTCTAACTTACCTGCTGCTTCGGCAGGCGCCGCCAGAAAGGCGCCGGAAGAGATCGCCGTGCTCTGGGCAGCCGCGCGCAAAGGCCATGGTGGCCCGGGCTGACGTGGCTTGACATGTCATGGAGGGGACTTGCTGCTATAAGATGTAAGCTGTGAATTTTCTACATATGCTTGCATGCCATCGTGCTTAAGTGGATGCAGCGGTGGTTGTTGGACTGGCTCCGCCGAAGCGGTGGTGCGTGGCAGTGCTGGTGAATTTTCGTTTTCTTTCTGTATAGGGCAAGCGTGTGTCTTGTCACGAAATCGGCTATTCGGTTTTGCTTTTGAGGGTTGTTTTGCTACTGCGGCACCAAGGACTTTACATGTAGACCGCGTCACATGCTATATTTTTGCCGGACGGCCAGTGTGCGGCCAGCGTGATGGTGGTCACTGATGTAGCAGACGCAGGTGTTGTGTGACCTTTTCTTGCTTAAGCAGCTGCCAAAGCATTTTTTCGTCACTTCAAAACTTTGGTACCTCATTGCGCGCGAAGTCAAATGTAGACTCGGCTTGGCTTTCAGGCGAGACAGCTCAAGCTCGGCCAGCGGAGTCTGGCAGGCGTTGCCGATGATGAGCTTTGCGAGGCTGACACTGGGGTGGCTTGGTGTAAACTTGTTTTGCAGTGTTATGGCAAAGGGCTTTGCGTCATTCACGGTATGTTTGCGAGGGAAGGAACGCTGCATCTATGAGTTTCTTTTTTGCACAAACCATGCCGAGCTCGGTGGTCGGTTCTGGTATCTCGTGAAAGCAGGGCACGAGCAGCCAAAGTTTAGGGCGTAATGTTGGACCCTCTTTAGTATAGGGGCCCCCCGCCTCCCCCCCCCCCGGAACAGTCTGAACAGTCAGGCGGGGTTCTCTTTAAGGGTCCCCCCTGACTTTTGTGCTTTGCCAATACATAGTTGAGTATTGCCAATACATAGTTTAGTATTGCCAAAGCTTTTGGGAGCTTTCTCCAATTCTAAGTTTAGCATTTGCAAGACTAAACTATGTATTGGCAGAGCTTTTTGAGGCCTTAAGGGACTTGAGGATTTTGAGGAGCAGAGCCAATACATAGTTTGGTTTAGTATTGCCAACACATTTTTTTGTGGGCTGGGCCCCAGGGCTTGGTATTAAAGTGAACCCCCTGAACAGTGGCCACTAAAGAGAATCAGGGGAGCTTGTGTACCACCCATCAGGATGGTTGTTTGGGGCTTGGTTTTGGAAAGATTTAAGTAAAGAAACTTGATAGTTGGGAGCCTGGAAAGTTTCTGGGTTTCAGGGTCTGGGTTTTTGGCCAGGTGTTGGATCTGATTTTTTTTGGGATTTTATGTTTTGCATTAAACCGAACCCCCTAAACAGTGGTGGGTGTCTGTTTAAGGGGATTTTTTTTGCTTTAAAGCGTCCCCGGGCACAAAACCGGGTCCAACATTAAAGGTCAGAGAACACACGGACTCAGTTGAAGTTCGCGCAATGTCAGGAGCATCTTTGTTTGGCGGCGTCATTCTTGGCAGTTTGCCTTTGTTTAGGCACGGTTTCGTTATCAGCGGGCTGCGCTAACCGTTTGTCACATCTTTTGCGGACTTCCAAGGGGCTGGTGTGTTGGGAAGGACACTCTGCAGCAGCCAAGCAGGGTCCAACTTCAATGAATTCCTGGATTTGTGGTAACGTTGCATTTCTGCCCGGACGGCACCGGCCTCTCTAGCAAGGATGAGCAGTCCACGCCTTGCGCTGCTGCTCTTGTTGCCACAGGTGTTGATGAGGACCGAACTTGGCTGAGCTGTCTCCTTTTGATTTCTTCGGGCACGTCGTTATTATTGGGGTGCCGTGGTTGAGCCGGTCACTGCATGCCTCGCGGGTTTTTTTCCAGCTTGTTTCACAGCCACCCCCGTACCTACACCGGCTGTCAGCACAGGTTAGCTTACCCATCGTTCGATCAAATAGCTTGGGAAGTTTGGGAAAGAGTGCTTCACAAGTTGTTTTTGGGGTGCGGATATGGCATAGGATCTCCGAGAACCACTGTGCTATTAGTTACTGTTGCTACTATTGTTTTTGTTTTAGTCGTTGCCAGCCTCTAGTACTGCCAATGGCAAATGTCAGATTAGTGGCAGCATGTAGAGGATTTGATTGAAGATTGCCAATGCTTCATGTTGGGTTGCAGGACTTAGCTCGGCTCTGCTAGTGGCAGTTTCGCGTCGTCTGGTTTTCGAGGACCAAGCTATGACCCCTCACACTTAGTTTTCAGCATGCCTCTTCAGGAAAGCTTTGGACTAAGAAACTGTGCTAAGTAAAACGCTAAGAGTGATCTGTGGGCTTTCTTGTGCCCGCTTTCTTGTGGCACACTAAAGATGATGCCCAGGCAGCGGGTTTATACCAGGTAGAGCCGGCGAAGCCGGTGGGCGGAAGTTTCTAAAGCGAGAAGAGTGCCTATAGGAAGAGCGTGACTTGTTTTTTTTGGTTGCGCTCTTTCTTTGTCTCTTTCTTTGTCTTTATTTCTTTCTTTCTCTCTTTCTCTCTTGCTTTCTCTCTTGATTTATTTATGTCTGTCTTTATTTCGTTCTTGCTTTCTTTCTCTTTATTTATTTATTCTTTCTATATTTCTTTCGTTCCTTCTTTTTATTTCTTCATTCTTTCTAAATTCCTTTCTTTCTTTATCTTTATCTTTCTCTCTTTCTTTGTTTCTCTTTATTTATTATGTTTTTTTCATTCTTTCTTTCTTTCTATATTTTTTCTCTTTCTCATTCTTTCTTTCTTTATTTTTTCTTGCTTTCTTTCTCTTTATTTATTTCTTCTTTCTATATTTCTTTCGTTCTCTCTTTTTATTTCTTCATTCTTTCTAAATTCCTTTCTTTCTTTATCTTTCTCTTTCTCTCTTTCTTTGTTGCTCTTTATTTATTATGTTTTTTTTCGTTCTGTCTTTCTTTCTATATTTATCGTTATGTCTTTCTTTCTTTCTTTCTTTCTTTCTTTCTTTCTTTCTTTCTTTCTTTCTTTCTTTCTCTTTATTTCTTTCTCTTTCTCTTTCTCCTTCTCTTTCTCTTTCTCTTTCTTTCTCTTTCTCTTTCTTTTTATGTTTCTTCTTTCTTTCTTTCTTTCTTCCTTCCTTTCTTTCCTTTCTTTCTTGCTTGGTTTCTTTCTTTCTTTTTTTCTTTCTTTCTTTCTTTCTTTCTTTTTTCTTTTATTTCTTTATTTCTTTCTTTCTTTTTATTTCTCTTTCTCTTTCTCTTTCTATTTCTCTCTCTCTCTCTCTCTTTCCATTCGATCTATCTATCTACCTATCTAACTATCGATCACCTCACCTTGCGAAAGTGCTGCGCCTGCCACGAAATCTGTACTCGACCTTGCGAAAATGCTGCGCCTGCCACGAAATCTGTACTTGGCCTTGCGAAAACGCTACGCCTGCCACGAAATCTGTACCTGACCTTGCGAAAGTGCCGCGCCTGCCACGAAATCTGTACCTGACCTTGCGAAAGTGCTGCGCCTGCCACGAAATCTGTGCTCGACCTTGCGAAAGTGCTGCGCCTGCCACGCGATTTACACCTTCGTCTCTGTCTTTCTCTCTCTCTCTCTCTCTCTCTTCCCATTTGATCTATCTATCTATCTATCTATCTATCCATCACCTGACCTTGCGAAAGTACCGCGCCTGCCACGAATTCTGTACCCGACCTTGTGAAAATGCTGCGCCTGCCACGAAATCTGTACTTGACCTTGCACGGGCACAAAATACTGCGCCTGCCACGAAATCTGTACCTTATGTTGCCAAAGTGCTGCGCCTGCCACGCAAAATTGACCTCCGAAAACGTCTGCGCGAGCATTACAGTGGGCAACATTCCGAGCCCGTGGCGAGACCGTGGCGAGCCCGCACGCAGAACAGAGGTACCCTTCGCGATTTTTCGTGCTAACTTCACTTCCTAGGTGCGTCCGGATCTTGTGATTGCAACTTTTCGTATTACGGAAGTTTTCTTACTAAACTTCCTTTGATTAAGTTAAGAATTGTGTCTCCTTGCGCGTTTTGTGAGATATCGGCGCGCCCCTTGCCAAGTGATTGTCCGACTAAGAACCTGGCAGCCGAACACCCGCGGAACGCATGGAGACACGCGGTAAGTTGCAGGTTAGACACTAGCGCTGCCACGGAATTAACGTGGCGAGGTGGTTTCCGCGCATCGCAATTAACCCGGCGAGCTTGCTGCTGCGCAGTCAGTCTAGTTCGCTTCCCGCCCTGCGCGACACGGACTGCTCCGCACGCACTCTTGCAGGCCGCGAGATCCAGTCGAACACCCTCCGTCTGAAATAGCAGCTGCCTGCAGAAGGCGCGTATACACACGGTGTCTAGCAGGTGAGACATTGCCGCTGCCCCGCAATTAACGTGGCGAGGTGGTTTCCGCGCATCGCAATTAACCCGGCGAGCTTACCCAGTCGAACACCCTCCGTCGGAAATAGCAGCTGCCTACTAGGCGCGTATACACACGGTGTCTTGCAGGTGAGACATTGGCGCTGCCCCAGAATTAACGTGGCGAGGTGGTTTCTGCGCATCGCAATTAACCCTGCGAGCTTGCTGCTGCGCAGTCAGTCTAGTCCGGTTCCCGCCCTGCACGACACGCACTGCTCCGCTCGCGCTCTTGCATGCCGCGACACCCAGTCGAACACCCTCCGTCGGAAATAGCAGCTGCCTACTAGGCGCGTATACACACGGTAACTTGCAGGTGAGACATTGGCGCTGCCCCAGAATTAACGTGGCGAGGTGGTTTCCGCGCATCGCAATTAACCCGGCGAACTTGCTGCTGTCCAGTCAGTGTACTCCGGTTCCCGCCCTGCGCGACACGGCAGGGCATTCTGTTGTGTCACGCGCTTTGCCGTAGAATGCCGTTTTTTGGCGAACAAAGCCGCCAAATTCAGTCGAGCACCCACTGATTGAAACAGCCGGTGCCCGCAGACAGTTTCTCTCTTCAAACCCATGGAAGGGCTTTGGCGCGCAACGTTGAGACAACGGGAGTGTTCAAATGGCGGTGGCCTCAGAACGGCTTTCTTTGGCTGGGTGTTTGATTCAGCTCTGCCCATTGGAGGGGCTCAGGGCGGTTGTGCATGGCTCGACCTGGCCCGTGGGCTGGGTTGTGACGAAGCACCATCAAGGTTTGCGCGGCTTGACCTTGCCCGTTGGCTGGGTTTTGAAATCAGCTTGGCCTTTTGCAGTGCGACAGAGTGCTTGAGCGTGGCTTGACCTTTGTGATTGTGCGTTCGACTGAGGCTTGCCACTTGGAGTGGATCAGAATACTCGCGCGTGGCTTGACCTTGGTGTGTGAAAGCGTGTTCGACTGAAGCTTGCCTCTTGGAGCGGCTGCCTCAGAATACTTGTGCGTGGCTTGACCTTTGTGACAGGGTGTTCGACTGAGGCTTGCCTCTTGCAGCGGATCAGAACACTTGCGCGTGGCTTGACCTTTGTGAAAGGGTGTTCGACTGAAGCTTGCCTCTTGGAGGGGCTCAGAATACTTGTGCGTGGCTTGACCTTTGTGAGAGGGTGTTCGACTGAGGCTTGCCTCTGGGAGAAGATCAGGATACTCGTGCGTGGCTTGACCTTTGTGAGAGGGTGTTCGACGGAGGCTTGCCTCTTGGAGTGGATCAGAATACTTGTGCGTGGCTTGGCCTTTGTGAAAGGGTGTTCGACTGAAGCTTACCTCTTGGAGGGGCTCAAAATACTTGTGCGTGGCTTGACCTTTGTGAGAGGGTGTTCGACTGAGGCTTGCCTCTGGGAGTAGATCAGGATACTCATGCGTGGCTTGACCTTTGTGAGAGGGTGTTCGACTGAGGCTTGCCTCTTGGAGTGGATCAGAATACTTGTGCGTGGCTTGGCCTTTGTGACTAAGTGTTCGACTGAGGCTTGCCTCTTGGAGTGGATCAGAATACTTGTGCGTGGCTTGACCTTTGTGAAAAGGTGTTCGAATGAGGCTTGCCTCTTGGAGTGGATCAGAATACTTGTGCGTGGCTTGACCTTTGTGACATGGTGTTCGACTGAGGCTTGCCTCTTGGGGTGGATCAGAACACTCGCGCGTGGCTTGACTTTGGCGATTGTGCGTTCGACTGATGCTTGCCTCTTGGAGTGGATCAGAATTCTTGTGTGTGGCTTGACCTTTGTGAAAGGGTGTTCCACTGGAGCTTGCCTCTTGGAGTGGATCAGAATACTTCTGCCTGGCTTGACCTTTGTGACAGGGTGTTCGACTGAGGCTTGCTTCTTGGAGTGGATCAGAATACTTGTGCATGGCTTGACCTTTGTGATAGGGTGTTCGACTGAGGCTTGCCTCTTGCAGTGGATGTGAACACTTGCGCGTGGCTTGACCTTTGTGACTGAGTACTTGTGCGTGGCTTGACCTGTGTGAGAGCGTGTTCGACTGAGGATTGCCTCTTGGAGTGGATCAGAATGCTTGCGCGTGGCTTGACCTTTGCGAGAGGGTGTTCGACTGAGGCTTGCCTCTTGGAGTGGATCAGAATACTTGTGCGTGGCTTGACCTGTGTGACAGGGTGTTCGACTGTGGCTTGCCTCTTGCAGTGGATCAGAATGCTTGTGCGTGGCTTGACCTTTGTGAGAGCGTGTTCGACTGAGGCTTGCCTCTGGGAGTGGATCAGAATACTCGCGCGCGGCTTGACGTTTGTGAAAGGCTGTTCGACTGAGGCTTGCCTCTGGGAGTGGATGAAAATACTTGCGCGTGGCTCGACCTTTGTGAGAGGGTGTTCGACTGAGGCTTGCCTCTTGGAGTGGATCAGAATACTTGTGTGTGGCTTGACCTTTGCGAGAGGGTGTTCGGCTAAAGCTTGCCTCTTGGAGTGGATCAGAATACTAATGCGTGGCCTGACCTTTGTGAGAGGGTGTTCGACTGAGGCTTGCCTCTTGCAGTGGATCAGAATACTTGTGCGTGGCTTGACCTTTGTGACAGGGTGTTCGATTTTCGAATACTTGTGCGTGGGTTGACCTTTGTGAGAGCGTGTTCGACTGAGGCTTGCCTCTTGGAGTGGATGAGAATACTTGTGCGTGGCTTGACCTTTGCGAGAGGGTGTTCGACTGAGGCTTGCCTCTTGGAGTGGATCAGAATACTTGTGCGTGGCTTGACCTTTGTGAAAAGGTGTTCGAATGAGGCTTGCCTCTTGGAGTGGATCAGAATACTTGTGCGTGGCTTGACCTTTGTGACATGGTGTTCGACTGAGGCTTGCCTCTTGGGGTGGATCAGAACACTCGCGCGTGGCTTGACTTTTGTGATTGTGCGTTCGACTGAGGCTTGCCTCTTGGAGTGGATCAGAATACTCGCGCGTGGCTTGACCTTTGTGAAAGGGTGTTGGACTGAAGCTTGCCTCTTGGAGGGGATCAGAATACTTGTGCGTGGCTTGACCTTTGTGACAGGGTGTTCGACTGAGGCTTGCCTCTTGGAGTGGATCAGAATACTTGCGCGTGGCTTGACTCTTGTGATTGCGCGTTCGACTGAGGCTTGCCTCTTGGAGTGGATCAGAATACTTGTGCGTGGCTTGACCTTTGTGAAAGGGTGTTCGACTGAAGCTTGCCTCTCGGAGGGGCTCAGAATTCTTGTGCGTGGCTTGACCTTTGTGAGAGGGTGTTCGACTGAGGCTTGCCTCTGGGAGTAGATCGGGATACTCGTGCGTGGCTTGACCTTTGTGAGAGGGTGTTCCACTGAGGCTTGCCTCTTAGAGTGGATCAGAATACTTGTGCGTTGCTTGGCCTTTGTGAAAGGGTGTTCGACTGAAGCTTACCTCTGGGAGTAGATCAGGATACTCGTGCGTGGCTTGACCTTTGTGAGAGGGTGTTCGACTGAGGCTTGCCTCTTGGAGTGGATCAGAATACTTGTGCGTGGCTTGACCTTTGCGAGAGGGTGTTCGACTGCGGCTTGCCTCTTGGAGTGGATCAGAATACTTGTGCGTGGCTTGACCTTTGTGAAAAGGTGTTCGAATATGGCTTGCCTCTTGGAGTGGATCAGAATACTTGTGCGTGGCTTGACCTTTGTGACATGGTGTTCGACTGAGGCTTGCCTCTTGGGGTGGATCAGAACACTCGCGCGTGGCTTGACTTTTGTGATTGTGCGTTCGACTGAGGCTTGCCTCTTGGAGTGGATCAGAATACTTGTGCTTGGCTTGACCTTTGTGAAAGGGTGTTCCACTGAAGCTTGCCTCTTGGAGTGGATCAGAATATTTGTGCGTGGCTTGACCTTTGTGACAGGGTGTTCGACTGAGGCTTGCTTCTTGGAGTGGATCAGAATACTTGTGCATGGCTTGACCTTTGTGATAGGGTGTTCGACTGAGGCTTGCCTCTTGGAGTGGATGTGAACACTTGCGCGTGGCTTGACCTTTGTGACTGAGTACTTGTGCGTGGCTTGACCTGTGCGAGAGGGTGTTCGACTGAGGCTTGCCTCTTGGAGTGGATCAGAATACTTGTGCGTGGCTTGACCTGTGTGACAGGGTGTTCGACTGTGGCTTGCCTCTTGCAGTGGATCAGAATGCTTGTGCGTGGCTTGACCTTTGTGAGAGCGTGTTCGACTGAGGCTTGCCTCTGGGAGTGGATCAGAATACTCGCGCACGGCTTGACCTTTGTGAAAGGCTGTTCGACTGAGGCTTGCCTCTGGGAGTGGATGAAAATACTTGCGCGTGGCTTGACCTGTGTGAGAGCGTGTTCGACTGAGGATTGCCTCTTGGAGTGGATCAGAATGCTTGCGCGTGGCTTGACCCTTGCGAGAGGGTGTTCGACTGAGGCTTGCCTCTTGGAGTGGATCAGAATACTCGCGCGCGGCTTGACCTTTGTGAAAAGCTGTTCGACTGAGGCTTGCCTCTGGGAGTGGATGAAAATACTTGCGCGTGGCTTGACCTGTGTGAGAGCGTGTTCGACTGAGGATTGCCTCTTGGAGTGGATCAGAATGCTTGCGCGTGGCTTGACCCTTGCGAGAGGGTGTTCGACTGAGGCTTGCCTCTTGGAGTGGATCTTGCCTGCGTGGCTTGAGTGGATCAGTGGAATACTTGTGCGTGGCTTGACCTTTGTGACATGGTGTTCGACTGAGGCTTGCCTCTTGGGGTGGATCAGAACACTCGCGCGTGGCTTGACTTTTGTGATTGTGTTCGACTGAGGCTTGCCTCTTGGAGTGGATCAGAATACTTGTGCGTGGCTTGAAAAGGTGTTCGAATGAGGCTTGCCTCTTGCAGTGGATCAGAATACTTGTGCGTGGCTTGACCTTTGTGACATGGTGTTCGACTGAGGCTTGCCTCTTGGGGTGGATCAGAACACTCGCGCGTGGCTTGACTTTTGTGATTGTGCGTTCGACTGAGGCTTGCCTCTTGGAGCGGATCAGAATACTTGTGCGTGGCTTGACCTTTGTGAAAGGGTGTTCGACTGAAACTTGCCTCTTGGAGTGGATCAGAATACTTGTGCGTGGCTTGACCTTTGTGACAGGGTGTTCGAATGAGGCTTGCTTCTTGGAGTGGATCAGAATACGTCGCTTTGCGTTGCTTCTCTTCGGTCTGATTAGCGTCGCTTTGCGTGGTATTCACCGCGCACTCGCGCGCTTGTATGAAGTTAAGCTGTGCTTCGATGGCGCAGGCTCGCGGCCAGTCGGGGGCTGGGGTGTTTGTAGCGTCCACTCTTCAAGGGTTCTTGTTTAAAGTTGTGGGCGCCATGTCTCTCTGTTTAAACGGTCCTCATTTGGCTCAGCGCCTGCTTCACTTCTTTGTTTGGTTGACTTGTTGGTCTCAGGAGAAATCCTCGTTTACCCGAAAGCGTTAGTGGAAGATTCTTCTGAACAAATGATTCCTGGTTGCACAGCCTCACGTTCTGGTTGCAAAACTCTCTGTTTCTTATCCCTTTCTTGCCCTTTCCTATTTTCTAATTTCTCTTCACGCTGTCTACGCACAAGGCTCGATGTTATGGATTTGCGAGAAACAACGGTAATCGATAGAAGGCTCACTAATTTGGTAAACAAAACCAATCTGAACAAATAATTTCGACCGTGCCTCATTTAGGTTTGTGCCGGGCCTCGCAAACGGCCCAACCCAAAGCGCAAACGCAACAACACCTGTTGATGCTGTACTATGCAATTCGTGCCATGTTGGCTTTCTTGCCTGGCCCCAGGACTTTCGTGTGGCAACTTCTTGCCCGTGGCAGAAGATTGCTCCTGGAGCGCTGTGGCCCGTCAACTTCTTTGTGCAGATCCCCTGCATCGCTGCTCTGCAACCGAGGGCTTGCGCATGCTGACTTCTGGCTGCCGCTCGCCTTCGTTTGGTAGTGCAAGCGAACAGTCGACATCAGAGACGGTCCTGCCGCACCTGCCGGTGCCGCACAAGCGCAGATGCGTTGGCAAGCAGTTTTGCAGCCGGCGGTGGCACATGAAGTGTGGGCACCGTCAGCTAGCTGTTTGGGAAAGGTTGCAAAGCTGTGACCTGCCTTGTTTCTGGTGCATAGAAGACGGCTTCTGTCTGACATTTGCAGACCCAGTGCCCAGATCTGAGGCCATGGAATTGAGTAGGAGCGTGGCTCACGAATGTGAAGTCCTTCCATGCACCTGCAGCGTGCAAGATTGAAAATCGAAGCGGCGAAGAGAGCATGCATTGCCAGCGTTTTTCCCGTTTTTTCCTTTATATTCTTGGCAGCTTCCCCTCCCCTTTACTCCTCACCACATTAATTGTTCTCTGGAATTATTTACCAACCAGCCAGCCAGCCAGCCAACTAACAAAACACTGAACACACATGCACAATCACAAATCACACAAAAACTGAACCAATTCAACCTAGACCACGCCAAATCAAGCCAAACCGAAACAAACGAAGCCAACCGCACACACACACACACACAACACACACACACACACACGCAAACACAGACAGAAAGCGCACAATGCACAAAAATCGCTGTTCGAAATTGCCCACCCAAATTGTTGCCATGTGTGTGTGTGTGTTTTTTGTTGTTTTTTGCTGTTCAGCTTGGGTTGATCACAGATCGGGTCCACTTTGGTTGGCCTCTAAACATCCACCTCTGCCATTTCATTTGTTCAACAGGTGGGGTGTTGCCCGTGGCGAAAAGAGGGAAACTACTCAGCTTCCCCCTGAATTGGCGGTTTTGTCTGGTGGTTTGGATGATCCCAAACCACCAATTCTGGGAAGGCTGAACTATAGGGGAAGCCACGTGGGTGTGACATCTACGGAATTCTTCAAAAGCTGTTGGACATTTAAAAATTTGAGTCCCCGGATTCGAGGCTTCTGGCTCACGAACTACCTGGAGACGCTGCTGGTTCAGGTTTGGTACCCCATGACTGTGGCGACGCAGAGCCGGGCCCAGAAGAAGGCAGAGCTGACCAACTCAGCTGAGCTGACTTTGCGTTGGTTTGGGTTGTTTTTGAAACCCACCCCCCCACTTTCGGGAAATGTATGGAATCGCAGGTTTGTTTTTTCTCGATTCCAGAGGAAAAGCGCTCGTTTTTGTTGGCATGTAAGGATCCGGGTCATTACATCTAGGATCCTGAGATCTATTCTAGGTCCCCCAGTAGTGCCCTTTTACCCCTTTTTGGGGGAGGGTTCCCTACTAAAATAGACAAAACCAAAAACAAGTTGGTACCCTTGTTCTAACCTCTCTACTGGAGGACCCAGGGTATATGAACCCAACCATTGCTTTCATGGATTGAATCCCAGGGTGGGGAATGATGATCCCCTTGTAATTGTCAATCCCCCAGTTGATACCCTTTACAAGAGGACCTAGTATTTGTTCTTTCGTTTGGTCTCTGACAATTGAGATGCCGAAGCCTCGAGCCCAAGAAAACACGGCCAAATCCACGGCGAAAGCAGCAAAGAACGCCGCGGAAGGCAACGCAATTTCACGCCCAACAGGTTGTCTTTTGTGTAATGTTCAGTAGAATCCTGGACATTTGCAAAGCCCGGCAAAAAGAGTTTGCAGGTGCCCAGGTATGTATTTTTTTTAGGTGGGGGGCCTTAAGCATCACTGGTTGGGCAATTATTGCCTAAGCCTCTCTTTGGTGGCGTGATATTTGAAGCGGCAGACAATGTTAGAAGGGTTGTTACCCTGAACGCGTTATCAGTGATCTGCTTCCAGGGTTAGGTCAAAGTCAAGGCCAGGCTAGTGGATGGGAATTTTGATCATTGTTAAAATTGTGGGGTCAATCTTGCCACTACCCCCGAAACCCTCCGAAAAGGTCATCAGACTCCTTCGGTCAAAACGCTTGGGGGGCTGGTTTCCTCCCCAATACAGGATCCTTCCACGCAGTTTGTGTGGATACAATGCGCATGCAGTCCTTGAGAGCCGGCTGCCCGTGATATATCTAGCCGGGTTGGGGTTTTCCATATCCGATCTTTCAAACACACCGATCTCAGGATCGTACTGTGGATGGACTAATCCTGCACCACTTTGACGCCGTGGGAAACTTGTATTTGTTGGTGTTTACAGGGGAATCATCAGAAGTTAGGGTTTCTTAGGTGGTGCAGGATTTCGTCCATCCACAGTATGCGTTTTGGTGCAAGTATCCTGATGGTCCATTCTGGGGAAAGACGCACCGAATTTCCCACAAGATTGAAAAGACACATGGCCCGGCAACAAGGGCCCAGCACGTGAGCGAACTGGGCCCCGTATGCAATGTGACAACGTGACGCGTCAACATGTCCCTTCTTGGTTGCTCCCAGCCATCCCCTTAGCTTTTAGCTGTTTAATGTCTTTTAGGGTTTAGTGGGGGTTTCTCCATTTAACCCTCCAAAAGCTAAACTTGTAGCAGGGGATCTGCATGAACACGGAAAGCCCAGTGTTGTCCACCCGTTTTGCCCTTGACTGTTTGCTTTCAAACGAGCATTGAGCGGCCTGACAGAGATATGACCCAAGGAGCCAGCACGAGAATGTTTATCACCCCCAAAAAACACAGCACGTTGTTTCTTCCTTGCTGGTATTAGCTTACCATGAGCCAACCCAGTGTTTCATTTTTTTTGGCCTGGGGCACCTTAAAGATGTCTCAGCCAAGTGACGGACGCCCTTGCTGCTCTGTTGGTTGGTGTCTGCAAAATGAGACGTGGCGCCCTTGTTCGGTGGGTCTTTGTGGGAGCTGAATCAGCTGCGCGACGCCCTGGATCTCAGTTGTTCAGTGGCACCAATTCTTTGTCCTTGTTATTTTGGTGGCTGCCAAAAACCAAAAATGGTCCAAGCCCCAAAAAGGATTCCCTTTTTATTCCCAGGGTCACTGAAGAACTGAGGGATGATAGTGTTGGAAATTTAAGTCGCTTCCTGAGCTCCTGGGCGTTCAACTTTTCGGGAAGACCATTTGGGTATGGGTCAAATTTCTTGGCACAGGAGCTCCTCCTAGCAGCCGTCCAAAAAAAAATGGGTCAAAATTAAAACCAACAGGAATTGGACCACAGGTTTTAGTCCATGTGTCCATTTGCTAGGGTTCCATATTTGGGTACCTATTTTTAACCCACACCCTTTTGAGTGGCAAACAAAAGGTGTGGATTTTTTGGACCGTCAAGTCAAGACGCGAGTTAAAGTGACCCAAGATGATAGTTTCCGATGGGGTCAATGTGTAGGGTTCAGGTGATGTGATGATGACGCTCATTGAGTCGCCATTCATGATTCTCAACCTGCTACTAAAGCAATCTAAACCATCTGCTGGGAACCCGGGTCAGCGCAAGTGCATCGATTGAGCAGACTTTGGGGTTGAAACTTTGTGTGATTCCGACTTGTCTAACTTGGGCGTGATGTATAGTTGCAATTTATGAACCAGCGGTCATTGGATGGCGCAGCACGTTTTGATGCGCTGCGCTGTCGATTTTGGGCTTGCCACTACCTCGTCGTACATAATGATTGCGGGTTCAAAATGAAGTCAGCAATCATGAATTCGATGGTGGACTTCATGAACAGCAAAGTGCTTATTGCAATGAAATCATGAAATTAGCAATGAACATGCAGGTTATCATGGACGCGATGATGAAGACTGGCGACTGGGTGATCATAGGTGTCCCCCCCCCTCCCCCCCCCCCCCCGCCCTCAAGGCGAGAATTTTATTGAGAAGTCAAAGCTTGTAGCTCCAAAACCCATAATTTCGCGCAAGAGGCCCTATTCAGGCTATCAATGAGTGCTTGTTGAAAGTTAGCAAGCATGAATAAGCTTCAACAAGTCCTCAAATCTGCAGTTTCGGAGTCCTGCGGTTGCAGCTGGGACGTTCTCAATTGGAAACTGCAGCCGCTTTCTTCGAAGCAGTTGTCATAGCCTGGAACAGTTGATCGGATCGTTCAAGCTGGATGCCCAAGTAGATTAACTTGCAGTACAGGTGGCCGATTGGCAGGCAGTATTTACGGTGTTGGCCAGGCATCCGGAGCAGGCGGCAAAAGCTGAACAGCATGTCACTAGTGACATCACATAGCGCCTCAAGGCGCCTCAATAGCACCTCAATAACTTTGAATAACACCTCAATACTGCTGACTAACGCCTCATTAACTCTCAATAATATCTCTCAATTCCGCTCAATCCCAGCGGCAATGCGTAGTTTCTCAAGCATCCACTGAGCAGAGCCTCCATTGTGTTTCATTAGTGCTTCGTAGAATCCAACACACGGTTCCACTAGAGTAGGGTAGGTTTCGGTTGGGCTGTCAGGCTGCCGGCCGGCTAATCATGGAGGGGTCACCGGGTTGGCTCGGAGTGCGAACACTCCCACGAGTGTTGAGAAGTGGACCTTTTTGGACGGGCAATTTTGGGCCAAGCTCCCTGAGAAAGGGGAGGTGGTACCTGGAGAGGGGTAGCCAGACGTCTATGAGGTGAGCATATCTATGTGCATGCTTGATAGCAACCAACAGCCCCCAGATTGGCGTGTATCTTTTTGGGTAGCCTGTTTGGGCTTAAAAGGCCGAAAAGAAGCAGCCCAGGTTGGGGTTGCAACCGATAAGGGCAACACCAAGCTACCCTACAAACATGGAAGCGCACAGACCGAACCCTTAAACGAGTTTTCCTTGGAAAGGGAGCCTGCGCTGTTCCAGGTTTGGTTGGGTATTTACTCTCCTTCAACCCTCATTGTCACCTGGTAGCCAAAAGGTAAAAGCATAGAATTATGTTGTTTAGTGATTCGTTTAAAACAAAAGTAAGCAACAAAGGAAACAAGTACATTCTGATATATGACCATGGTTTACTTTTTCAACCAGGAGGGCGGCTTCCAACGTGGAGCTTCCGATTCCGCACGCCACGCTTCGGAGAAACAGTTTGCCTTGGGCGC